TTGGGGCGACTTGCCGTGGTAGCGCTCGGCTTTTGTATGATGAGGTCGCCGAAAGTGCTTCCTCGCCCACCCCCCGGGGAAGGGATCCTTGACCTGTGGCGCTGGGAGCGGGTGTCCACTACATGATGATGATGATGTGCTAATCATCATCCCAATTCTGAACCCCTAGCAGCACGACAATAGTCGGTCTCCATTGTGTCCTCTGCAATACAGTCTTTTTTGCCCTACATTTCATGCGTCACAAATTTATTATTTCCACTTTGAGGATTTCCATTCTGAGGCTTTCATACCGAGGTCTCCATCCAGATTCCGGCACTTGGGATCGAAACGCTGGGGAAAGATTTCTCCTCCGAAGAGGCAATGCGGAGAGTAATATGACAGTGCACAACTTCCCCTCGTCCCCTTCATTCGTGATGTTGGATGAACAGCAAGAACACAAGCGTTGGCAAAGATGCAGCTTTTGCATTCCTAGGGGACGATTGTAGTGTTGTTTCCGATCATTCCGTAATCTGTCGTGCTAACAGTACTAAGAGGCAAAGGGTAGTTTTGGAATTTTGCATGACAAAAGAGGGGGAGGGGGAGTTGTGCACTTTCACCGAGAGCAGCACAGCAGCACGAGGGGAAATTGGAACACTTTGCGGCGATGAAAGCGGGGCAAAAGATACTGTCTGTGCCGGTTGTATGGGAGTGTCAGGATCGAAATGGACAAAGTCGCAAAATTTGCGATGCGTAAAACGTAGGGCACGTTGTAGGGCCTGTGTTGGCGGGGAGCAGACAAAGGTGAACGATTGTTACCCTGTTTAAGGGTATACAATGTGCTGCCAGACGAGTAGCATGACAGGAGCAGTCTTCTTTACCCAAACTAACAGCATGATAGACTGGATTTGGGTGCTCCCGAAGTTTGTCATGCGCCAGTTGGAGACTGAGGCTCCAACTGGCGTCGATTTTGAGCATCACAGATTTTTCGACTTTGTCAATTTCGATTTTGACGGTTCCATAGCTTGACAAAGAAGCGGCGCAGGAGGTTTACAAAGGCCTGGTCCAGCGAGCGATCAGCACAGGGCACATTTTCGGAGAAGAGGAATCGCAACACGCCCGACTGGGCTCTGTTTTGTTGGGAAAAAAAGACAGAGCGGATCTGGAGAAGGCAATTATTGACTTTTTGCCAGACGAATGGTTTCTGAAAGTTACATGTTTTTCTGGAGTTGTGCACGACCAGCCGGAACTGAGAGACGATAAGGACAAAGGGGTCCATCTGAGCAAGACGCTGTATGGGATAATTCTCAAGCGTTTTTACACTCTCAACAATTCTTGTTCCGTTATGCTGTCTATGTTGTCGAATTTGTAAAAGCGCAAGAGTACCTAGCAAAAAAAAAAAATGCATATTATTGGTATAAAATTTTTTTGCGCCCGCCCTTGCATAAAGATAGACTAAGTCTCATGCTATTTACTCCTTCAAGAGTTTGTCATGCGAAGCAGTTTGGACATGTGCTTAGATATTGATGGCGATTTGATTGCATGACAATGTGACGCTTGAGGATCCCATATTTTGGCGGCGCCTCCCCAGGACGAAGAGATGTTGCGGCTCTCGTCCGCTGTCGCTGGAGTTAACATGCATGACGCTATTTCTCACCGGTTTTTGGCGTCAAACATTTTGTCTATCGAGGAAGCTGCAGAGCGGATCGTGCTGCTCTCTCCGAGCCGTGGGGACCGTGTAATTCTCAACTATGCAAGAAAAAAACTACTAAAGCTGATGTGTATTATACTGTGTGTACGTCTGTGATCATCATCATGCAAAGCATGCAACGCGATTACATCGATCTTCCATGCTATAAAGTGCTCCGAGGTGGATATATTTCCATACAATACAATTATATGTGTTTTCACGTACAACAAGAAACGTCGGCGTGCGTGACAGGCTTTCAGTGGCATGTTCTTGCAGAACGGATATCCTCCTACTGTTACCTGGAGGCTTGACCTACATTGGCACAGTTTTTTTCTGGGATATCCACCGCGACCAAACCATAATGCAAGACGCAAGCGCGCCGGTTACCAATCCTGTATTTTTTACGACATGCGGGAACGTAGGTCATGATCCTCACGGCCAAGGTCACGGGAACAATAAAGCAGGGAACAATACTATCAAACTGGAGTGCAAACCACTGGAGTGGAAACCTCCCATGGCTCCAGGAGCGGTGGAGAGACCACGGGGTTGGATCGTATATCTGAACCCGGCTGTTTTCTTCTCGAAGAAAAAGTTCCTGCCGTCTCTATCAAAAGGAAAAATCCCCCTTCCCCATATCAAAACGGAAATCTGTGATGCAGATTTGTTGTCACAAATCAGCTTTGTCATGCTACACGGGAAAAGATGCGGACTGTAGTGCTGGGTGGCGTGGGGGAGCCTTGCATCTTCAGCATGATAGGAGGCAGCTGAGAGTGGGAAACAGCATAACAAATTGCCTGCAAACGAGACCACAACTGCGGCTCTTGGCGTTCTAGCGTGACAAGTCGATTTGTGACCTCAAATCCTGCATCACAGATTTCCACTTCGATATGGAGAGGGGGGATTTTTCCGTTTGATAGTCTCTCCAGCAAGCGCAACGAGCTTTGGATGATGCGGTTGCGTTATGGATTGCAAAAATGTCTGGGTCTGGAAGAATGCAAGTTGTGATGCTATTTTTGGAATCTAAAAAAATCTGTATTGCACGAGCAGCAAGAGGCGTCCAGTTTTTGCTCCGCGGAGAGGGCATTTGTCATGCGGGATAGGCATCAAGATACCCGCAAAAAATCTGTCATGCTAGGTCATGCATTACAGGCCTCATAGCCCATGCGAAATATGCATGACAAACCTGGAAATCTTCCAGACCCAGATACTTTTGCAATCCATACGCGTTTTTACACAGCGAGGTGGAGACGAAGTGGATCGAAATGGCGATATCAAATGGAAAAATGTTTTGACCTGGAAGAAGGTAAACTTGTCATGCCGATTTCCCACGACCCATAAGGTCTGGAATGCGGGACCTGGCATGACAGATTCCGTGAGATCACTATCATGCCTATCCTGCATGGGAAACTGCCTTTGAACTTGATCTATCAAAAGGGCGGGACAGCATTTGGTAATCATGCAACACAGATTTTTGCATGATTCAGATTTAGCATGACAACTTCCAACCTTCCAGACCCAGACGCAGACACTTTTGCAGTGCATAGGCGAGGGTGTTTCGCGATTCCGGCATTGAAATGCAACTGCAAGAAGAAGAAATAATAAATGGGGGGATCGTTTCCGCTTCCGCTTCGCCGGGCTCCTGTATCACACAGAAAAAAGATGGCAGGACACATTTGTAATGCAAAAATAAATACACCAAAAGAGCTGCATTGCATATTCGAAACAACATGCTATGGGGCCACCCATGACAAATTTTTGTGTGTATTTATTTTTGCATTACAAATATGCCCTGCCAGCTTTTATTTTTCTCTGGGATATCCTGCTTCCAGGGTTTGTCGCCCGCCGACAGGTTCAAAGTGTTGTCCGCGATTGCCGACAACTGTAATCCATTTTTGCGCCTGGATGGTGGGCAATCTGCCAAGAGCCCACCTGCTCCAGAATCAGGTGGAAAAGACAAAAACATCCCAACTGCTGCTCTCCACCTACCTTCCGCTTCCGTTCCTGGCGGGAAGGCTGTGTCACTCATTCTGGACGCGTCCGTTTACTTTCCGGGAGCAGAAGGGGCAAAGCTCTTCCACTGGCGGGAGAACCTTTTCCAGCGTTTATTCGCCTTCCTCAACGAGCCACTAAAGAGTCTGAGCATCAACGTGCCTTCCGGCGTGCCTTTGGTCCAGGAGTTGCGGTTTAGCTTTGGGGAATTACTTTTATTTGTGAACAGCTGTCGGAGAGGCAGGGCTTCTGAAAACGCGGAATTTCGATGGGAGGGGTCGGAGAAAGATAAAGAACTCCTCGCTGCAGCAAGCATGCAGCTGCCTGATGCCGAAAGGCGGAGACTGGAAGCTCTTGGCGCTTTGCCACAACAAGCGAGTGCTAGAAGTGATGCACTAGAAGAAGCTGCAGCACGACCACAACAAGCCTCCACCACCAGGTCCGTCGGTGACTACTCACCCGTTTCGAACAGCACGGAAGCCCGGATGGAAGCGTTTTGGCAGGAAACAATTCAACCGCTACTGGAGAAGTATATCGACCGCGTCCAGCGCATGCCTTCATTCCCAAATCAGGCCACCTATTTCCCAAAAATGCTTGCGGGTACAGTTCTGATCTGGTAACCAAATGCGTGCGCGCGCGCGC